CCAGTCCGGCTTGGAACCCGAAAATGGGTGGCCCGTGGAATACTGGCTGCAGCAATTTGCGGCCCGGTTCATGGACCCAGACAGGCAGGTTACGGCAGTCGCGGACATCACTACCAGAAAGTACATGCTGGGGCAAGAGACCCCCGAGCAGTACTATGACGCCATCATCAACCTCAAGCAACGAGGCAACCTCACCGATGAACTGGCAGTCTTCTACCTGCGGACGAATGTCACGGAGCCAATTCTTCGGGCAGCTCTGGACGTCCGGATGCCGAAGACGACGCGGGAGTTCCGGGACTACGTACGGGACTTCACCCGGGGAAAGCCGATGTACCAGGTAGTTAAAGGTGGCAACTCCACCAACTACATCACCGTCAGGACGGCGACGCCCGTTCCCGTGACTCAGCCGGCCCCCGGATACATACAACCCAACTCGCCAGGTTACCAGAATGTGCAACTGGGGCTTCACCGACAGAGCCCCCCGGCGACACCACCCCCTCAGGCCCGTGGTCAGATCGAACAGACTTGGGCAGCAATGGCGGCGATGAACCTGAATGGAGCCCCAACAGGGACCATGGTCACGCCGCCAGCCTACGGGAACAGCGGCCAACCGAATCAGCCTCGGAGCCCCGGCTACGGCCAACCACAGAGCCAGGGTTACTCCGGCTATGGCCAGCCCCAACAGGGCTACAGCCAACCTCGGAGCCCCGGCTATGGCCAGCCCCAACAGGGCTACGGCCAGAACTCCGGCTACGGCCAACCTCAGAACCAGGGGTACGGCTTCGGAGGTGGATACGGACGCGGCGGAGCCTCACAATATGGCGGCCCCGGCGGAAGACGTGGCGGCGGGAATCGCGGCCGCGGAAACTTCGGCAGCCGCGCGGGTGGAGGCGGCCAGCCTCAGAACGTGCAACGGCAGCCCCGGACACCACAGCAGGAGGCTCGCCAGCAGGCAACCTACGTTGACCGGATGGAAGCTAAGTTCTTTCAGTGGACCCAGGACGGAACATTTTCCTGTAGCCATTGCCTATGGGGCAACCACAACCAAGCGAGTTGTGGCTATGCCAACCTCCGGCTGGAAGACAACCCAAACCGGAGATGGTACCTGGACTGGAGGTACCGGTACGATAACGGATGGCCGTTAGGTTCGGCGAATCAGAACTACCCGAACATCGTACCACCCCCGCGCCCCCGTCAGCAGAATGCCGGCGGATTCGGCGGCCAAGGCAGCCCCAACCGGCAGCCTGGCCAGGGAAATGGAGGGAACCCCCAGAACGGTGGCCGACCCCCATTGGCAACCCCACCACCAGCCCAACGGCCGCAACTGCCGCCGTCCCCGGCCCCCAATAGGGGCTCGGGCGGATACCAACCGGCAGTTGGCGGGCCTGTCCCGGGTACATCCCAGGGAAACGCCTAAGGTCGATGAGCTCCGGTGACTCATCCGACCTCTGCCATCCAACAAAACCACCGGATAAGGATAACCCCACTAACCGGAATAACCCTTTGGACACAACTTGGAACCTCAACGAGGACTTAGCCTCCGCAACGGTCAGCGAGTCCGCTAGAATCTTAGCGGCGGGGACGGCAGCCCAACTAGGCGCCGAACATCCCCGGTTCGGATACTCGGAGAATCGACCCGAACCTCGCCACGCCGATAATTGCGGCTCCCGGACCAGAACAGGTACCTGGGAGGATCGGCCAAGGAACTTGGATCCGATCGGCAGCCGGGACACAGAATGTGCCCGGACCCCCAGGCCCAGAAGGTGAAGCCGGGGATGTCGCCCGGAGAAACCGGACCCGACCAGCCGGGACGAGAAACGTCACCAGCCTGCCCGGACGGCTCAGTGCCCAATTAGGCATTACGAGCCACGGGCTAAGCGGAGAATCGGGACGCCGACCCGCAACTTCACAGGACGCCAGAATGACGCCTGAACCGTCCTTGGTAGGCCAACCAGGTAGACGGCCGGAGGCTCCGACCGACGAAGTAACGGAGTACTTCGAAGACTAGGAAGCAGTACTTTTGGAGGCACAGGTACCCGCCTACTGTCTGCAGCAGGAAGCGGACCTCTTCCAGCGACAACCGGCACGAACTGTAACCGGATCGCGGACGTTCTTCAACATGCAATATAACCTCTCAACTTTACGAGAAGGTCAACCATCCATGGAAGAACGGATAGCAAGCCGGATATACCCGGTAGAAACCGCCGAAGCACTGATGGAAGGCGTCGCGAACCGTTCGGAGGTGCACAACTCGGTCAATGAGGTTTCACCAGGCTTACCAGCTCCGGCAGAACGACTAAGTCCACATCAACCCTCGGATGGCTACCCATAAGACGGAGTAGACCCACCGAGGTCGGATAGAATTTCATCACCGCCGCGTGTTAACACCAATAGTGTCCCCGGCGGATCAACGACAACTCTAATCCCGGTCGAAGTGACCATCCGAGAAGTAACGATCCAACCGTTACAGTCCACCGAACGACCGAAAGTGGTCCGGGCATGGACACACGAAGTTCAAATTGTACCGGTAACAACCACGGCCATGTTGGACACCGGAGCCGAAACATCCCTAATAGAGGAGCGTTTCTGCCGGGCCAACAACCTCAAACTCGAATCCCTGGGGTATTTCACCAAAATACGTGGTGTTGGCGGACAAATTGCCTTTATGGTAACCCATTGTTGTACCGTACCGGTAACCTTGCAAGGATTCACCAGCCCCCACACATTCCACGTCCAACCTAACAATTCGGACGTTCCTGTACTTCTTGGATGCGACTACCTGCATTCCAAGTTTGTTTTCACCCGGGCGCCGACCCCCAATGAGGGTCAGCGGAACCCATCTTCGGGTGTAGTGCAGCCTATCCCGATACCAGAGGCATCGGGCACGGCAGCGAATGAGGCTCGGATAAATCGGCTTGATCACCCGATGAACCCCGGACCCCCGGTCTGCCCGCAATGCTCGGATACCGAACGAAGCCTCGTAACGGAGCTGCAAATCCACAACGCCATCGAACAATATTTGGCGAAAGTGCGGACGACCCGATTGGAACCAGTCCGAGGGATACTAAAGTCTATCCCGATACCAGAGGCATCGGCTTCTGGTATACTCAACCAAAGGTACCGAACTTGGTTTTCCGGCATTCGACACCTCCTTGAAACCCGGACGGTCGGCATAAGACTCGCACTTGATCGAGTCGGCGCAAGGACGGATGATCAAATCCGAGCCGCAAGGGAGGAATGCGAAGAGGTAATCAACCTAACTGAAGCCTTAGAAGAGGAAATCATCGAGTGGGAAGAAGAGCGGATCGTACTCCACACACAATTTGTGGAACACAAGCTCCCCATACCGGCAATACTGGAAATCCAGTCCCATGAATTGGGCCGACGCCTTATGTGGCACTTCCGGGACCCTTACCACTTCGGTACCCTGGATACTGCCTCCTTTTGGAGTCGATACGGCGAAGACACCCGCATAACTAGGGTCGTGCCGGACTCTGAACCTCCGATCGAGCCTCGTAACTGGCACCAGGCTAAGAAAGTAAGGCTGGCCGAGGCTGTGCACCCACAAAATGGGGGCCGCCTAGCCAACACACGGGCACAAGCCCCGGATCAAGAATATATGGCCCTGGAATGCCCGATCTGCCACGAAAACAATGGAGCGATCGTCCAAGCCCTCAGAACTCGGAACGAAGAAGTCTGGGAGCATGGTAGGCCACCATCCCCTGGACCCCCCGAACCGGGAAGGTGGGAAGGACCGACTCAGCAGACCCCAATTAGGGTTACTGACGGTCTACTTGGACCATCCGCCGGAACAGCGGAGGAAGGCGAAGCCGACGAATTTGGAGATTGGGACTCGGAAGCCTCGGATGTACAGAGCACAAGCGACTCACCGGACACTGACTCCGATAACGAGCCATCCGACCCTTCAGATAACAACTCATCGGATACCTCCGATGACGACGACGATAATGATATCGGCTTCGACCCTTCGGTTCAATGGGTGGGAATCGACACACCCCCGGACGAACCCCCAAAAGGTGGATCGTCCGGCAACGAACCTTCAAAGGAAGCCCAGCAACCCCAGAACGGAGACTCGGGCCAACGACGGGCTGAGTTAATCGCAATTACGGTTTCTCACCCGGCTGAAAGCCCTGTAACCTCGGCTACGTCTAGCGATATGGGCCTGGAACAGGACCCTGATACTTCCGAAGCTGAATCCTCGGAAGGCAGCCCCACGTACGACGTCCGTGCGGCGGGACAACGGGTATCTCAGACCGACGACGAACAGATTGCCCAACAGGCGACATTCGTCGGAGGTAACCCGGTTGAACCCGACAAAAATACAGTCCAGACGGAGCCTCGGCTAAACCGAAGATAGCCTCGGTACGACAGACTAAGTCCGAGAAGACCGTCTATAACCCATGGAAACGGGTACGGAGGCCGAAGCCAGTAGCTACAGGCCCAACCGTCAATCGTCTTCAGCTCCATACCGAGGATAAGGACGAAGACCGACAGCCCGTGTTCGTTGAGAACAAGTGTACCCTACCACCTTTCTCAACCTGCGCCGTACTGGTGCGACCCTCAAGAGCATGGCCCCTCACCGGGATATCCATTTCGAATCTTTCCGGCGGAGGCACTCCGGAGTTCGGCCGATCGAAGACACTATCGAGATCCGACCAACTTGCGATACCGCATGGATCAAGGTCCAGAACGCGACCGAGTACAACCAGATACTCCGAAGGGGTGCGAAGATCGGATACATGCATTACAGCGACACTTACGGGTTCGAACCTGACAACGAAGGGATCGAATGGGAAATCCCGATGGGAGTAGCCCGAGTCTCACAACATGGAGACCGGCCATATAGCTTACCGAGGACGACACAGTACGACGCTACCACGGTACGGACCCAACAGAAGGTCCAGCTACTTCCCAGGGCTATCGTCGAAGTCACGGTAACCCTCGACATAGAAGTTGACCTCGCTAAAAACAAGTACCTAATGTACCTCGGCTCGGAGGAAGCCTTAGCGGAGGGTATCGAAATGAAGGATGGTCCGACCCCACATGACGGCAAGAAGTTTACCATCCTCGTGGCCAACCATACTAATAAGGACATAACCATCCGGAAAGGAACCCCAATGGGTCGAGTCGAGCCGTACGAACACATGACGGTCGACCAAAAGGCCCGGGTCCGACTTACCCAAGAAGGTGACGAAGACCCGGCAACCGTCGAAGAACAAAAGAAAGCCATCAACTCCATGAAGCTCGGTGAGAACGTAACCGATGAGCAGCGACAAGTTCTACGGGACATCGCATGGGAGTATCGGCTCGTCTTTCCAACCTCAAAACGACCCTACGGTGACGTCAAGGGAGTCACCCACGTCATCGACGTCCAAGGTGCAAAGCCTATAAAGTTGAACCCAACTAGAACTAGTTGGAAGGGTCGCGAGTTCATCTCCAAACACGTCCAAGAGATGCTGGACCAAGGAGTGATTGAACCCTCCGACGCAGCATGGAGCTTCCCCGTGGTCTTGGCAGCCAAGAAGAACCCGGACGGCTCCGTCGGAACCAGGTTCTGCATCAACTACATTAAGTTGAACGCAGTAACCAAGAAGAACAACTACCCTCTTCCGAACCCGGACGAGCTGCTGGACAAGTGCGCCGGGATGGAGTACTACGGCAAGGTAGATTGCCAATCCGGTTTTTGGCAGATCCCAATGGACGAAGCCTCGAAGGATATGACAACCTTCGTTACGCCAGAAGGCATGTACAGGTTCAACCGGATGCCGTTCGGAGTCTGTAACGGACCCGCAACCTTCCAGATGCATGTCGATAAGATAACCGCAAAAGCCCGCAGGAAAGGTGTTTTCGCGTACATCGATGACATCATCTTCTTCGGCCGGACCTTCGAAAAACTCAAAGAAGCCTTCCGAGCCACCCTGGACTGCCTACTTGAGGCCGGGTTCACCATTAAACCCTCGAAGTGCGAGGTTGGAACGGACAAGTTACCCTTCCTCGGACATGTCCTTAGCAAAGCCGGAGTCCAGACTGACGACGAGAAAGTAGCGGCTATTGCACAACACCAACCCCCGCGAACTGAACGCCAATTGCGGTCGTTCCTCGGGTTGGCCAACTACTACCGGAAGTTCATCCGCAACTACGCTCAACGGACATCGAAGATGTATGAACTCCTTCGGAAGACTAATTCCATCCGGACAGACTGGACGGATGACCATACAGCAAAGTTCAACGGCATTAAAGAGGCTCTAACTACAGCCCCGGTACTCGCAAAGTTCGACCCGACCAATAAGACGGTAATCGAGTGCAATGCCAGTGGAGCCGGACTTGGCGCGGTGTTGTCTCAAGACGGACACCCCGTAGCATTTGCCAGCCGAGTTCTCCATGGAGCCGAGAAGAACTACGGAGTCACCGAATGGGAATGCCTAGCCGTAGTTTGGGCCGTCCAGAAGTTTAAACACTTCATTGACCATGGACCCTTCACCGTCAGAACGGATCACCGAGCCTTACAGAACCGGATGCGCTGTGAGTCCAATAGACCCGGCATCAACCCCCGGTTAACACGGTGGGCTCTGGCTCTGCAAGGCAAGGACATCACCATCGAGTATAAACCTGGAGTTTTCTGCGACAATGCGGATGCTCTGTCTCGGTGGCCCCTTGAACGACCCGATGAGAACGACCCCCATGAAGAGCTGGACCAGGTACCCAACTTCGAAGACTTCAAGGATGAGATCAAAATAAGGTCCCTCCGGGTACAACGACACGAAATGAAGGAGAAGAGCCGAAGACATCCGGACCTCATACTCGAGCCCGGAGGCTGGACGGATGAGGCTAAAGTAAGGTCTCTCCGAGTGGCAGCTGAATGGAGGCAGACCACAAATATGTGTCGCCCCGTTCCGAAAGTAACTCCGCTGCCCGGATGTAAGGTCATCTCGGACTGGAACGACCTGTCCACCCCATACGTACGGGTAATCAACGTAGTCGTACCGGACGGTCCGGGCTCACAAGGCGAGCCGAGGGTTGGAACCGCAAAGGTACGGACTACCGAGGTTAACGGACCGGAGGCTCCGGGTTCACAAGGCGAACCCGAGGATGAAGAGGAAAAGCCGATGGAATCCAACAAGGAGTTACGTAGACTACAACTCCGGGACCCTCACCTCCGGAAGAAGATCGACGAACTGGAAAACCAGGACCAGCTCGACCATAAGTCCCCACTGCTGGAACATTACCAGATGAGCGTAGGTCTACTGTACCGGCTGACCACCCACAACACCAAGTTGGAACGACGGTTCGTGGTCCCGCTCTTTATGCGAAAAGGCATCATCCGAGCACTTCACGACGGAAAAACCGGCAACCACTTCGGCCGCGTGAAGACACTGGAGGCCGCGAAGCTTCGGTACTACTGGGACCGGATGCTATCCGATATTCACGATTACGTGGATAACTGCCCTCGGTGTACCTTGGTGAACAAACCCCGGACTAAACCACCCGGTAAACTCCAGAAGATGGAAGTAGGTGAACCATGGTTTCGAATTTACGCGGACTTCAAAGGACCCTTACCCCGCACCGAGTCGAAAGGCTACCAGTACATCGCGGTCGTCACCGACCAGTTCACCAAGTTCACCATAGCCCAAGCAACCAAGACTAACTCGGCAAAAGAGTTCGAAAAGTTCTTTGTGGAGGACGTGGTCCTGAAATATGGCATACCGACCCACCTTCACACCGACCAAGGATCCCACTTTACGGCTAAGACCTTCGCCAAAGTCGCCAGGATCTTCGGGATCGAGCATACCTTCGGAACAGCCTACCACCCAGAGGGTCAAGGCCAAGTCGAACATTCCATGCAGACGATATGGGATGGAATTCGGAAGGAATGCGACGCCAAGGATGGTCACCGATGGCACCGGAACCTACAGTACGTAGTATGCGGAATCAACCGAGCCAAACATGCGACCACCGGGTTCTCACCCTACTACATGTTGTACGGACGTGAGATGACCATACCCCAGGACGTCATCACCGGAACCAATGCACCGGAACACTACACTGATAAGGAACAATACATCAGGAGGATGAAGGAACGGCTCCAGAGGGCTCACGACATCGCGAAGACGAACATCGACGAAGCCTTCCAGAAAGCAGCCGAACTCTACAACAAGAAGAAATCCGTACCGGACTTCCAGAAGAGAGACCTCGTCCTGGTAGAGTATCTCAATAAGGATCCTACCAGGAAGGAACGGTACGATGGAGTATGGACGGTACTCAACTATACTGGACCCAACAACCTTTGGCTCCGCAACGTCGAAACCGCAAAGGAAGACGTTGTCGCCGTGGATAGATGCAAGCATCATCCGAGCAACAAGCGTCGGCGGATCACCCGATCTTCTGGAAGTCCGTACCGGACTTCCAGAAGAGAGACCTCGTCCTGGTAGAGTATCTCAATAAGGATCCTACCAGGAAGGAACGGTACGATGGAGTATGGACGGTACTCGACTATACTGGACCCAACAACCTTTGGCTCCGCAACGTCGAAACCGCAAAGGAAGACGTTGTCGCCGTGGATAGATGCAAGCATCATCCGAGCAACAAGCGTCGGCGGATCACCCGATCTTATGGCCAGAAGAAAGCCGAGGTAACCCCGGGTAACAGCCCTGCAACGGTGCCGTACCCCCATGAGGGTCAGCCCGCTCGCAATACCCGGGTCCGAAAGGCGAATCCAGCCGAAGAGAAGCCGAAGGAACCGCCAAAGGAGCCTCAGAAACTGGACTTAACGCCGGTTCAGGACCCCAATAAGGGTTCGCCCGACAAATTAAGTCCAGTGGAACCCCCCAGACCAAAAGGAAAACGTGGCCGACCGAGGAAGAAGCCTCCGTCGGACTTCGAGACACCAGCCCTGCAAGAATTGCAGAAGCAGGCTGTGATAGAGGATGAACCCGAGGCCGTCCCGGAGAAGCCCAAGGACTTAGCCGGATCATCCGAGGCTAACCCGGAGAAGTCAGTGGACTTAGCCGTAGAACCCGAGGCTACCTTAACCAAGCCTAAGGAGCCTAAGGCACCGAAGGAGAAGCCGGTAAAAGCGAAGAAACCGGTGAAGAAGCGACCTGACACACCGGTCCCGGCAGTTTCAACCGATAAGGCGGTTGAACCCCCGGCTCCAAAGCGGAAGTACGGGACGGTTAAGAAGCCGAGGTTAACGGCTCAGGAGGTACTTGAAGAAGCTCAAGTGGCCGAAGATGAAGCACACAAGGATATCCTCGACAGGATTGCTGAAGGACGGCCAGAACCGGTCAAATCGACCAAACCCACAAAGAAGCCCAAAACATCAAAACCCACCACACCACAAACATAGGGCCATAGTTAACTTAGAATAAGTTAGGGATTAGCTAGGACAAAGTTAAGAATGGACCTTTGGTGTCGGAATGGGACCTCTTCAGTTGTGCCTGGAATCTTCAGTTGAACTTATTGGGCCTTATCAGAATGCTAACGAGCCGTATCTCCTTTATCCTAATAGCCTCTCATAACGATGTCTGACCGACGACGAGACCCTCCATCGAGCGGATCGAACAGCAGCCGACGCGACAACCGACGATCTCAGCCGTACCCGCACGACCGATCGGGTTCCCGAGCTGAAACGCGTTCGGCCAACCAAACCCCAATCCCACAGGTAATAAACCCGCATGCGAACGTAGCGGCTGATTCTTTGGCAGGTTTAACGGTCGGGTCACGGATGGTCACTCAACCCCGGACGATCCCCCTCCAGACCTTGCCACCGGGCACTATGCTCGACGAAACCGGACTTTTGGTGAATGTGAGCGCGGCCACCGGTCAGAACGTACCGGCAGTACCGATCGACCCAACAGGTCAGATCCGCCCGCCACTTCTACCGGGACCATTCATTCCCGGACCAGTCATGCCACCAACGCTACCATACATCCCGATTACGGTAACGAGCATTCAGCCGGCCCCAATAGGGCCGCTGATGACTCAAGCCGGGATGAATCCCATGCCGAACCAAATGTTCGCCATGTTCACCCAATGGTGCAACCAGATGGGCATGAACCAGCCACAAGGCGGCGCGGTCAACCCTCTGATGGGATACCCCATAGTTACTGGACCCATGGGAGCCTCGCAGCAGCCGACTTTACCGGCGGCGCCACGACAGGACGGCACAAATATGCCTCCGGTGGTATCAGCGACGGCTAGGCCGGAACGTCAACGGACACCATCCCCGTTTACCCGATACTACGAGGATGGAACGAAGGCTTTTTCAGTCCACATGCTGAAAAGACCGAAGCCTCCGACATCGACGGCAGAGGCAGCCCCAGCTCAACCCACAGCTGAACCCTCAACACCCGGATCTTCCGCAGCAAGACCTTCGGCAACCGCAATTACGGTTGAACCGACTTCGGTTGCATTTTCAGCCGGATCGCGAAGGCAGATCCGACCATCGGAAGAACTCACGCTGGGTCTTATGGAGGCTGAAAGTGAATGGACTCTTGTCCAGCGCAAGATAGAAGCTCTCAAGTTGAGCGACCCTAACTTTGCGCAAGAATTGACCTGATTGAACTCGGAAATGAAAGAACTGGAACAATATATCCAGGATACCCGAGCCATACGTAGAGCCAGGAAGTCAACCTCCGAGACTCCAGCTTCGGAGAGAGGGCCAGCCCTAGCAACCGCAACTACGGGGGCTCCGGCTGGGTCGACCAACCCTCCTCCTCACCCTTCAATGGCCGAAGTACACGCATTGCTCGGACAGACCGAAGCTCTCGTGAAACGAATGAGAGGCCAGATACAAGCCGAAGGACTGGAAAATCCGGCATCCGAACGCACGTGGGTCAGCTCCTTGAACCTCGGAGCCGAAGTACTCCGGAAACTGCTATCGCGGACCCCTTTGCAAGAGGAACAACTGGGTCTAATCCGCACCCACTATTGGATTCTGAAGGCCCAGATAGAAGAGGCTCGAGACGAACACCCTCTGGCACCCCCAAGAACGGTGGACAATGTGCCCGGATTAACAAGCCGAGGGACAGAACGGGGATCAGCCGTCGCAACCACAAGTATGGGGGCTTCGGCTGGAACAACAAGGACCCCGGATGACAGAGAAGCGAGCCCAAGCCGGCTACAAGTTTACGCGACCTTGAGGGAGTCGGACGACTTAGCGGTGCGACTTAACCGCGAGCATCAAGAAGCTTCACCGACCGACCCTCGGTACTTGGATCAGGAGTATCATCCATGATTCCTACATGCTCCGACGGTCAACTGAAGTTACTAACTTCTCCCCGCAGCAGATTCAGCAGTCCCGGCAAGCATTCCGGAACCTGCGTAGGATCATCGATGATAACCAAAACCCGGCATCACCGACCCCACGTGACGTAGCCTATCCGCGTTTGTGGCTATCCGCAGAACTCGGCAACAAGGACTCGTACTCCTAACGGAACTACGTCGGCGCCGAGACCGATACCCTTTTAACTCGGAACAATGGGCGGAAACTGAGAAACTCAACATCGAGATCCAATTGAAGCTCGGTGAAATTGAGCGTCTCAGCCACGACAGAATTCCAGCAGACGTCCGTGACAGATGGCTCCTGGAAGGCGCGGTGGCCTATGTGGACCAACAGATAGCGGCCTTCAACCTAACCGAGGGAGCCGGACCGCAAGGGCAACAACCAAGCCCCGCCACCCGCCAGGCGTACGACCGAGCCAGAGACAGAATGGCACTCCATTGAACGACGTGCCGACAATTACGGCATTGTCCTCTCTGACGACTCATCAAACCGGCCTGACGAAGTCGAAGGCAGACTTTGGAAGTGGCAGGAGATCAGGAAGACCTTAGAAAAGGGCCATACGCTCCTTTCTACCCTAGAGCAGAGAAACAAGCCGGAGGACAAGCCCTACTTCGACAAAGACCGTGAACAAGCTAAGTATCTGAACGACCGGAACAACTTGACGGCTAACCTCCGCCAAGTGGCCAGACTCACCGAGGCTGGAATGCCAACAGCACCGGCTGACATCCGTGAATTAGATGCGCTACTTGGATACCTCGGTACACGTATTGCCGAAGAAGGCGACCTGGACTCGGATGAATACTCGGAATATAGTCCGAGTCGGAGCCGTAGCCGCGATGGGGAACCAACAGTGACCCCCGGCCCAGGCTCACACCGAAGCGCATCACTTATGTCAGAACCTCCGTCACCGATAAACTCACCGGACATCGAGATGTTCGATGACCCACCGGAAATGGACTTCGGTATCACCATAACTACCGAAGAATTGACGAGGGACTTAGCCGAAACCGAGCTAACCGCGGACCTTCTGACTCAGCGGATTGCCACGCTACAGCCAGGCGATGCGACTCTACGAACCATCACCGAACAGCGCGACATGGCTCGTGGGCACGCTGAGAAACTCCGGAGGAAGTTAGAGGAAAGAAGCCACGAGGAGGCTCAACCTCGGACCCCCGGACCTCAACAGGCTCAACCATCGGGGTTTCCTCTATCTCGGACCCCCGGAACCTCAAGGGTCAACCCACTTGAGCCACCTCAACTGGAACCAGCCCCGACAGAACAGGAGATCCAAACTCTCCGCGACGACATAGCCCTTAATGAAGGCTATGTCCGGGACTTAGCCGCTCAGGCTAACCAATTGGAGGATCGGACCCCGGCTCAGAGGAAGCTGAAGGAGCGGATCCAAGATCAACACCGGGTAGCCACAATGGACCTGGAGAGCCTAAAAGCTGATTTAGAAGTGGCACTTGCAAAAAGGAAGCATGAGGAAGAGAGCCGCAAAACGGTTCCACCTCAGCCTCCGGCCACTCAGCCGACCCAACTCTCGGCAACCCAGGCAACTCAGCCTCCGGCTACTCCGCCGACCCAAGCCTCCGCGAACCTACCGCAGCAACCGGAACGGCCGGTAGCGACCCAACAGGTTGCACCGACTCAGCGCCTTTCACCCCGCTCAATGGTACGGGCGATGGAAAACATATCGGACCCGGGAGTCCTGCCGCCCGATGCTCAACCTTACATAGTTGAAGCCATGACTCGGGCTAATAGCATCTTGACTGAGATGCGGACTCGCCGAGGCTTCTGCGACCGTCATAGCGCGGAATTTTTTAAACTGGACGGTGATATCACCGGAGTTGAAAACCATACCCGGGCAACTCGGATCCTTCTACACCCGGATACCCCGAAACACTAGTACAGCCAGTCTCAGCTGCAATCATGCGTGCTTTGGCTCTCGGGCTTCATCCGGGATTATGAGGAAGAAAAGCAGGCCAAAGAACGGCGAGAGGCAGACCGAGCCTCCAAGGATCAGTCTCGGATTAGGCAGATCGAACCCCAGAGCAGGGTACATCTGACCAATCAACCCGAAGACCGACCATCAAGCCACCCTCGACGGCTACTCCACCGTCAGGAAATTGGCCACTGGCAGTACCCGGAATGGAGGAAACGATTCGGCGAGCACTTCAGCGAGCCGGTGATGCCAGCCACGAGATGCATGCCCAATTGCATGCCATGAACGCCTGGGACTCTAGGGCGGCAAGGCTCGACGTCGACACCAATACCTTGGATACGAACCGAAAGACCATTGCCACCATACTTACCCTATCGGCAGCGAGATCTTCGGATACCGAGGAGACCTTGATACAGGCGCTGCAAGACATTAAGCGGATCACCGAAGGTTACTACCGTAACAAGCGACGTGAAGCTGCGGAGCGTAAAGCCCAAAAGGCTAAACCACCCGCAGGACCAGCTACGCAACCCGGTGAACCAATGGACGTTCCACCCTTAGAAGGTGAAGAGCAGAATCTTGAGCCCACCACGGCAGAACGAGAAGCTTATGCTCTGACACGGGACTTAACCCCGGACCCACCGAGCACAAGTAAGGCATCGAGGCCAACGACATTGCCGGTACCCCCAATAGGCGGTTCGGCTCGGCCAAAACGAACGGAACAGGTGCTCGTCATCCGACGTCCGACAGAACAGTCCGATAACCCGGAGAGAACCCCGGATGGTAGGGCTATTCATCAGCCCGGAGGCCCAGATTCGCCTAAGTTCGCGAGGAAGCCTCGGTCTAAGGACAGGGATGAGGACAAAGGCCCGAAACGGAAGCTGTTCTCATCACCACCGAGACAAGTCCGGACCCTCGAACAGGTCCGAGAGATTGTGATGCGGGAAACGGCTTCAGACCCATCGAAGCCCCGTCAGAAGGTACGACCGACGCCTGGTGAGAGCCACAAGACGGCCCCCCAGCCTCAGTTAGTACTACAGGCCATCCAACCGGATTTAACCGCAACGGAACGGGAAGCCTTGGCTTACCACAACCAGCTGGTAGACCAGATTAAGCAGGC